TGACTTTGTGGAGCAGAGAGGAGTCACTGCCTTCAATGGGACTGCAGCATGGCTGTGATGTTCGCGCAAAGCATTACATTGTGGGATATAATACATTTGATAGTTAGCTCACTCTAGCCATAATATAGTGCTATCAACTGCATGATGCTTTTTTATATATTGTATGTGTGTTGAATGCATTCTAGTCATCCCAAAAACCACTTAGCATTTTTAAGCCCCGCACAATTTGGAAAAAAATAACTAACTTTTTTTGCTTACTTGATTGATTCATTCTGCATGCCCTAATGCTCATATTAAATACATCACTTATGTGAGAGTCACAGATGAGGGTGGATATGGTGCTCCTGTGTGTAGGAGGAATATCAGAAAGCTGTTAGCTTAGCATACAGAGTTAAGAGATGTTCAGGACACGTGCAGTTTGCAGGGTTTTGTGTTTACACTGTTGTATTGGAGAGTGTTTACCTGTGCACCAGGTGTTCCAGGGGGTCAGGGCCTCATTAGCTAACAAACAGATAATCTCTGTTACACTTTGTGATGAAATTAATACGCGTGTTTGGGGTGGAGAGGAAGCTGAGAGCAGTGGAGGGCTTTTTTTTGCTGCGATGCATGTCCAATCGTAACTCTCCACTGGCGGTGAGGACTGGTGGCGCTGGAAGCAAAACAGCAGATAATTAGTTAGTGGTGATAAACTCTGCTCTCCTCACATATTTATTATCCCTACCTGCTGTGTACCTTTTTAATATCAGAGCAAAAGCACATTCGCTTCTGTGCATTCATTAAAGACAACGACTTCAATGGTAGTGTTAGCCGTCATACAGATACAGCTCTAAATATATCTCAAGGTTAATGAAAGATTATTGTGCGGGTTCTCGAAAACTATAGGGAATAGCCATTTCAAAAATAAATGAAATTGTGCCAAACAAGGTAATGTAGGTGAATTGGTGCTTCTGCTGCAATCACTTTGATCCTTGTTGAAACTGTCATCCTAACAGCAGGTACTTTAGTTTCACTCATCTGGGCGTTTTTACATCTCAGCAGGGAGTACAGTGTTTTCACAACCGACAGACCCCATGGAAACAGCCGTGACCACAACGGTTATCTTTTCATTGTTCTTGCGTATAAGTGAAAGGGAGTCGCTGATCGATGTGTTGTAGTGCTGAAGGTCGCAGGAATGTGACCTGTCCCCCCCCATACTTTCAATTTCATCTGGATGTCAATAAAGCATGGCAGTGAGAGTGGGAGAGTAAATGGCACACGGGTGATGTGTGAGCGTTTGGGTGTGCAGTTTGTGTGTCGGCAAAGTGTCCCCTCGGCCCGGACGCTTCCATCAAGACAGACATTTTCCAATACAGTAAGAGACAGGCCATCGAGCGGCCTCGGTGCCACGTAACCCAACAACGCTCCGGGGACTCATCGAGTCGAGTGGCTGCGCGGATAAGAGCTCCGACATGAGGAAAAAACCCGAGAGGGGCCCGATAATGATACCTTTATTCTGAAGGATAACACACTCAATCAAATTAAATATCACCATCTCCACAATTGTGTCTTATAAATATATTTCAAAAATGATTCTTTAATCATTTAAAGTTCCATATATTTAACTCTAAAAAGGGTTGGGGTTAGAGTTAGAACATTGAGATGCTCTGACGGAGGAGTTACAAATATATCATATAATATAAACCAAAAATATTTACTGTGTCTAAAATATATTGGAATCAAACCATAAAAAAGTGGTTTTAAATCAATGCATATCAACATGACCTTCATAGCTGCTATACACTGAACATTCACTGCTGCTGCTTATATATTATTAAGTTTTATCCTCCTATTAAAAAATAAATATACTGTTAATTTAAGTGAAATACCAACACTTAATGGTTGTCCCTCTAAAATGTGAGGATTTGTTTGTTTATTCCCATTTATCTCTATTATAAATGGAATTGTGTGGATATTTTAGTTAACGAAAAGATATTATGAAAGAAAGGGATACTTAAAAAAGATAATTTATCGAGAACATCTTCTTAAAAAAGGAGAAAAACTAAGTGTACTTTGACTTCCCTAACAACCCTGCAATAGTAAGATCCTCGTCGTCATCATGCCTGCACGCTCTGGGGTTGTGAGTTGACCCGTAGTTTTGCTCGACAGTATCTCGGGCCGGGGAAATGATTGCTATAATTTAACCTTCCACACACTTGAATCACAGAAGCAGCAACAAGAGTGCTGAGATCAGATCAGATGAGCTCTCCTTGAATAAAAATAGCACGGCCGACAGCGGAGCACAACTCAGAGGAGGGAAACTCTGAGAACACAAAGATGAAGATGAGTCAAGGTGAAAATGAAAATGAAAGCTGTGCCTTTTGAGAACGTAATGTTTCTTATCTTTTCATACAGGAAGATCTTCAGAAAACAAACATTTTCACAAATTGTCTTTGCTGTAGGTCGACCAAAACATGCAATATGAATATAGGAACTTTGCATTGGACAATTGTAATAGGCATTTATTTAATTTATAGACCAAAAAAGTATATTCAGTGCTAATTGCTAGCAGTCTTGTAGCAACACCGATTGGTATACAGCCCATTGAATAGGGATTATGTTCCATAGCAGTGTGTTTTCTGACTGATGATGAGTGTTTGTTCAGACTCCACACACTTGGTAAACGTGCCTCTGTAAGGAAGTTCAGTTGAACAGCATGTTGTGTCCTCATGGGAAGGTGAGGAAGTTGTAGAGGTGACGCTAACACACTGCAGCAGCAATCCACTGCAAGGTTTGAATACATAAGAGATCTAATTAATCAGTGATGTGTGTGTCCTCTCCAAATTTGTAATTTGTACGTAATGCCCCTCTTTTGAGATTATCCAAGAAAACAGATCAGGTTTGGGGGGTGAAACTCCGTCTGTCTCTGCGGACCCCTCCCCCACAGTACGGCGTATATTATGGGATTTACTGCATTGTCCTCTTCATGTGCTGATCTGTGATGAAATATTCACCACTGTAAATGTTTATGGGCCATTGAAAAGACAGCGTTCATAAATACATTCATCAATGGATACATTAGTAATATCAAGAGGCTCTTTCATAGACGTTTGGCTCGATTGGAAACTGGTTTTTTGACCAAGGTGACCTCGAGGGGGTTGAAACGCTGACTTTGGCTTTCCAACCAGCACGTCCCCTGTCAGGCCCCTAAACTGCCCCACCCCCATCGCCATCCCTCCAACCCCCCGCGATAAAACTGCGTCTTATACCCTCTCTGAAAAATATGCAAATGTGTGAAAGTAGGTTACAGACATCCCCCGTGTTTGCTTCTCTTGCGTCTGTGCGGTGGGGTTTGGAAGAAGGGGAGACGCGTTCATCCTATCAGCCTCCGGGCCGCTGGTCCTCCGTTCTCCTGCACGCGTCCCGTCACATTCAGAGCTCTGATTCCCTGACCGCGTGGCCATTAGACCTCGCTGACTCGGAGTACATGTCAGAGAGAGTCCTGTCACCCACATTCTATGATCCCTCATCCCATCTCTTGCTTCTTCTCTTCAGATTTATTGAACCATCCCCTCAGTTTTCACCCATGTTGCATTTAAAGACCTAATGAACCAGGATGCATCAGGATCGTTTGCTCTGGCCTTGACCACATACTTAAACCAATTAAGACCATTGTGGAAAGGAGTGGGAACTAGAAATTATGCTCAATAATGTACATTATTACAAATAACTACTTGTAATTTATTTAAACTTATATTGCAATCGTGATATAATTTAAAAATATTTAGGACCATTTTTTTACATTATTAACAACTTAACATTGGTCATGATCATGGTGTGTTTTTTTCCAAGTGGATCTGTACAAAACAAGGATAATTGATTTAGTCTTGACAAGCTGGGACTTCTCTGTAGCACCATGATAATTAATATAAAATAAAATGTTCACATATTTTGCCTTTACCAAATTCTGCGCTTATCATAATTTGGATATGACACAATTTCAGATCATATTTCCATTAATTGTGCAGCCTTAGTAGGGTTTGTGAATCTGTATCTGAGGAAATAACGCCTAGTTATATCTGTTATATTTACATTCTTATCTTAACATAAATACATCTCGTTTATTTTGGATTTATTGGATTATTCTTGGATACACCCACACAACAATACATCTAATTAGTATAGCACCTTTCCAAATACTCAGAGACGGTTTACAATCAAAACAAACATTTCATACAAGCATTCAAACAACATACATTCATATTAAAATAAAAAAGCAAGATGTAATGAAATGGATAAGCAAAGCACAGTCTGAGCACTAACATTGAGTGGTTATTTGTGCATACATTATATATAATATCATATATAAAATATGAATAACTGAGCTTTGGAGGTCAGATGTTGTTTTGTATGGGGCAGCTTTTTCTCTGTGTCCTGCCCATGACTTTCATCTAACATCCAATTTGCTTTTGTTAACTGGAAAAAATACAATTCTATTCCCAATAACCAGACTGTTAAAACGTGGGAGGCCTGTCTGCAGAAACACCCTCTCCTATATTCTCAGATCTTCATTTGTCTACAGTTATATTTATTTAAAAAAAATGACTTTTCCCCAGCTGACTTTTCTCCAGCTTGATTAAAGTGACTGTAGAAGCTCTGACACCCTGCAGGATTGCGAGCGTCACACCCAAAGGTCCTTTGTGATCTGAATCTCTGGATGTTATCTCTGCTTGTCAGCGCAGGATCCTCTCAGGCACACCGAGTTTCACTGGTTGCTGAAATGTTGGAATGTCCTCTTCCCATTTGTTCCCAAAACATTCCTTCCATTGTGAATGCTAAGATCTGATATACAGTTGGTGGTTTGGATGCAGAGAAGAGAAGGGATGTAAAGTCCTGCTGCTCCACCTGTAGGCCACACTGCGTCACTGCACCCTGCACTCTGATGCAGATACAACTTTTTATTTCACTCTTTATAAAATACATAAGAAATCATTGTATTCATATCAGATATTTTTTCATTTCAGAGCAAGACATTGGTGAATCCTTCCAGGCGGCGAAGAACACTGAAGAACACTTACAGGTTGGTTTCCCTTATTTATTTGGTACACATTTACAAAATAAAAAAGGTCAAGGTCCCAAAACTCTGGATACTACATTTCCCACAATGCATCTTTTGCTTAGAAGCCTGAAATAAGGACTGTGGTTAGCACGAGCTGAAGAGATGTTCATGTGTTCTTCCATAACAGAAAATATGTCAGTAAAGAGTGTCTGAAGCTTCTGTGTGTCAAAACGGTTGATGACAAGTGGTGACGTGAAGTCATGTGACCGTGATGTCATGTGACCGTGATGTAGCTCCTCTATTGCCTAACATTAGCTTATTGTTTCTGCCGATTGCATTTATTACAAAACCTTTTAAGTATAATTGGCGTTATTCTAGGGAAATGGAGCGATTCTTGCTTCTATACGGTCCTACAAAATGACATCAACACTGGACCACTCTATAAAAGGACACATCTTTTCAACTTCATGGCATCGAGTTTGGATTCAAGTGACTGATCGCTGTGTATATGACAGGCCAGAGGGTACTTCAAATTAATGTGTCCCTTCAGGTTTAATGTTGCTATTTGAATATTTTAAGACTTCAATAAGTTGCTGTTTCCAAACTCCATATATGCTTTAGGTTACACTGCACACCTGTACACAATGTCAACAAAAACGCCTGTGGGGGGGGGCTGTAGGACCCTTCAAAGCATTGGTTCCCAACCTTTTTTCCCAAGAGCCCCCCCAAATGACTCCTGTTGGAAGTTGCAACCCCCCCCCCCACACACACACACACACACACAAGGGTGGGGGGGGCGCAACAGCGGTAATTAAAGTTGAAAAGTCTCAAAAATGCTACAACTACTGTCACAAACTAGATGAATGTGATGTATTTTGTTAAAGGAGGATGAAAGCGTAATTAAGGAGCACTATTGGAGTGACTTTGATGGTTATTAGACTCAGGATTCATTCATTTGGATTCCCGCTGTATGAAGAAATTAAAGGACGGCGCGAAGTGGAAACAATTCACAAAGGGATTAAACTGTTTAAAACACATGCTCAAAGAAAGCCGGATTTTGCCGATGTGTTTATGTGGATTCTAAAAGTCGTAAATAATCTACAAAATGGAGGAGACCGATCTGATCGGAGCAACTGTGACAAATAATCCAACTGAAACCGGCATGGACAATGACTATGTTTTAAAAATGCGCTTATCCAGAAAAGCCCGGTTTGGACACTTTACGGGCAGAAGAAAGCTTTCTATTAAAGAAAGAATTATACATTTCTGTCTTTTTATGCCTTTAATAGCTACTAACTTGAATTGTTATTCAAATTAATTAATCAATTATTTTTTATATTTTATTGTAATGTAGTGACAAGGCTAGGACAGCCAAAACGTCCGGCCCTCGGCCCGAGAGCAGCGTGCCGGACCCCGTTGTCGACGTGAGAAAAGTTATTTCCCCTTGGCGCACTCAGTTAGACGGAAAAAGAAAGATACAAAAGCCGTGACGAAAAATTTCTACACCACTGTAGTAATTGGAGTAAGATAACAGTGTTCTAGCGTCTTCTTTCAGTATGTGGGTAGACAGACGGTTTTTTATAGACGGTTTAGTAGTTTGCGCGACCCCGCTGTGATCACTGGTACGTCAGACAATAATATTATCTGTACCAATAATAATCGCCAGCTCATCGCAATGGTAATAACGACGGACACCTTGATTTTTCTCAATTTAGCTCAGGAACGACTCCTTTGCTAAGGGATTGTCTAATGTGGTTGTATGAGCGACTAAAGAATTATCTCATCGCTTATCGATTTTGAAGTCGTGGGGCCGTCGACAAAAGTGCATGCAAAAGATCTCTTCAGACACGAAAACTCACCTAAACTCACGACTGTTTGTCCAACCGCTACCAACCCTTACTGCGAAATCTCTACTCTGGATACACACCGAAAACCAGAAAATGTCTCAAGACCAACTTGTTATATTTAAATTCAGAAGAGAAGACGATCAGGAAAGATAATAAAGTCAGAATAGAATGTACTAATCAAGCCTGGGAGAAATGAAGTAGTTTCACACTTCCTTTCGAGGAATGGGACCATGAGTCTGTCAGTTTATAAAACCAGAGAACTATTTCTTTCACATCGAATCAACACTCACGAGCTGTGTATGTAAAAGTTTTGTCTTTTTGTACCGTCGTTGTATAGAATTAGGTTGTTATCAAGACTTGTTAAACGGACCGTAGGCAGTCCAAACACTGTCTACCTGGGCAGCGGTAGAAAGATACAGGCTACTTAGAGAAGTACGTAGGGAGGGTCTCGGAGGTCCACCCTCCGATGCCATGGCGCTTTTACCATTGTGAGGTTTAGGATATCACTATTTTTGGGGTTTGAGTATACTACAAGGACATTGAGGCTAGAAGTAGAAGTAACCACGATGAACATTACTAATGTGTCACCTATACAGTGACGATACATACAAACCCACAAGTAGATTGTCCAGGTCCTGCCATCTTATGGGGGTTGGAGACGACACGACCGTACAGTGGCTCGCTTACGGGACTTGTAGTAGGGACGGACCGACCACTCCTCCCTGAAGAGCGAGACCGGACGACCGTCACTCCATTTGTAAGTGACTTGTACCCAAAGATGAAATTCACCTATCAAGACTACAAAAACTCACCACCAACATGCTCCATGGGATAGGCAAGACGTGCTTCTACCGGCCAGGATAGACGTCACGTCTGTCGGAATACCGTGCCTTCATTTCGTACACAAAGTCACACCCGTCCGCCGTCTTCGATAACACTCGGAGTGATCGTCTTTTCCAGGGTGGATTTTTTAGTTTAGTGAAATTCACATTTCGGATAAAACCTTGCAAAAGTGGTGAACTAAGTTTGGAAGTGAACGACACTAACGTTATCAGATAAAAAGGATTGTTTAGTACTCGACGACCAGATTTCGACATTGATCGCATGTGTATTGGACTATAACCTAAATAAGAAACACTAGTAAATAAATGATGTCGATTTTATACCCACAACGGCGGGAAGACAGGTGTCGTCAACGTACGAAGTGAAGGCACGGCCCATTTTGAGACAAAAATGTGTTTGACGCCTCAACGGGCATGACCATGTAACTTATTATCTATTCATGAAGTTATTTTGGGTGTAGTTTTGGTAAGACAAGTTTTGAAGGTTAAGAAATTACTCGAAATTTACAATCAAAACTAGTTGATAATGATAAAACAATTCTTTACTAACGCTTTACAACATTTCATTACTCCTCAAGAACGTGAAGAAACCGAAGTTCATAAAAGACGATTTCGTAAACACAAAGGTGTGCCTAGACTAACGGGCAGACAGGTAGAGAGATGTTTGACACTTTCAGACTGACTCTGGTTTAAGATATGTAAACACCTATAAGCCGATATATTATGTTGTAACTAACTAACGGTCCTGCAGCCCAGCAGGGCACCGACCCTCTGGACGAACCGGGAGACCTCGTTTATGGTGGAAAAGCGGTAGCCAGCGACCACGAGTCGGGACGACCACCCGGTGCAAGTGAGCTCACGAGGTCGTGTGCCGGTCGGTGGTGGGACGCAAGAACGGTAGGACCGAGGTACCATTTGTCTGCAGGTGAAGTGTGTGTCGCGCGATTGTGTGTCGAAGATTGGACATAGAATCTGAGACCGAGACAGAGACTTTATTCCGGGATCGCTAATTTCTAAGTGGGCGACATACCACTACCGACGGGGACGTGGTAGCGGCGGGAGGGACCGGAAGTAACGCGGCAGCGGTGGGGACGGGTTGCGGCTTAGCGGAAACAAACCTTTTGAGTTTTCAGTATCGTGTACCACTCTACTTAAATGTATTATGTGGTTTTAGGGGAACAACGTTCTTAACAAATTACATCGCTCAAATCTCCCTATAATAAACGGTTTCTTCTAGCACTTTACAAATCAGAAACAACTCCATTGCACCTCTATCACAAGGAAGTGTTATCTCATTCTTTTTGTATAACCGTCCTATCTGGTCTATTTAAATTCTTCTATAAAACTCAGAAATTAAATTCAAATATCCTGAGATTTTTTCAGGATATTTTCAGGAACATCGCGCATTCCAGGGGTTCCTCTATGTCAAATATCCAGCGACGAAAAATCTAAAAAGTTTTGGCGACATAGTATATCGTGAGCGCCAAAAATTTGAAGAAATATGACTTAGTTCTACAGTGGCAGACAAGGAAATCCAGCTTTCGGCCGAAGTACGACCTTGTAGTAGCCCTAAGAATAGACAATAAATCCGCGTTAGTGGGACCCCTATACGGTACAAATCTGTACCCTTTGTAGAGGAGTAACCCAGTCTGTATGTTTAATCATTTTGGAACTCATGACTTACTGTCTCTCGACTTTACATTTTTCTCTTTTTTGGAATATTATCACAGAAATATTTTCACATTTATACACTGAATTTCTCTTGGTCTTCTCTCTTTCCTGTATTAACACTATGAATGTCTTCGCTTTCTATGTCCTTCTTCATGTAGTTCAACAAATTCAAATACACACTTTCTTTTTTTTCCAAATCTTCTATAGATTTCTTTTTATTATAAGATCTGGTTCAAATTGGATCGCAATCGTGTGGTGTGTGAATATTTTCCAATGCTGATTATTTCGTGCTGGAACCACTTCTCGTTTTGCCACTAACTAAATGTTTTCTCTTTCTATGTGGTCTCTATTTCTAACTTCTATAGCTCAGACTCGGTAAGTATTTGTCTTGAGTGCATGCGATAATTATGAAGGAGTCTAGTCTGGTTATTACATCAAGTTCCTTTTAGTATTGACTCCAGTGAACAGTTTACATGTGTACTAAGGACTTCCTCTGCAGTATAATATCTTGATAAATTAGTGAAGTGTTCTCGCGAATCTCTTCATGTGACGCTACAAATTTTAACTAACGATCCTTTCCATTAATACACACTCACATACAAATGTCGTGTCCTTAATCAAAGTAAGATCTTGATCCGGTGTTTCTTAGTCATTCTAAATT